ATTCCAAAATAATGAAATAACCATCAATGAACATATACTGATGTAAAAGTCCCATTTTTTTCTTCTTTATTTCATAAGTAAGACGAACAGCTCGAGTTTTCGAAGTTCGTTTCGGAGTCTTTTTCAAAATATCATCTGAAACATACAACATTCAACATTGGAAACAGAAACACCGACATTGGACAACAAAGACTAATAAACAACAAATTTGTACATACTGTGTTGGAGTAGTTATTCACAACGTCCAAAAACAGGAATTTCAAGTTCTATAAGAATTCATTAATAGAGTGTGTTGGAGTAGTTATTCACAACGTCCAAAAACAGGAATTTCAAGTTCTATAAGAATTCATTAATAGAGTAATTAATACATGTTATGACATCATAGAGAGCTCCAAAGTGGCTCATAGGTACATACATACAAATTAGCTAAGAATAGCTTCTATGGTAGATATTAGTTTCTTTACAACAGACAACAATCTTAGGTAATGCTAGTAAGGAGTTAGTGTGTACACATAAGTGCAAAACCACGTGTCAAAACAGAGAATGATGACGGGTCAGAAAGAGAGAGGAAGTAACATGCATGGAGGAGAGAGTAAGAAAAGGGGGGCTGAAGGGACAATATGAACAAGGTAGGGGGAAAGGGGAGGAAGCAAAAGTGTGAGGAATGGGATAGCCATCCCACACGTTTATTGCCGATCTCAACTTTAATGTCCCATTTCACAAAAGAAAACAGCTGCAGCCAATCCACTAACTGAGCCTGGGGCCTTCCTCATTCAAACATTCTGCCATGGAGCTATAGCACCTCACTTCCAATGATACCAACTAGGACTCCCAACACTGCCTTGAAAATGCTTTGAAATTTTGGGGGCCAGTGCCCAGGAAGGGCAGAGTTCTTCCAGAATGTGATGTTACTTCTGGGTGATGCTCTAGGCTGCCTCTCTTTGTCTTTATAGTCTTTACCATAGAAGAGTGGAGTTAAAAGCCCATTGCATTTTCTGGATTCTCTTTATATAACATGTGGGAAGGAAAGCTGAAAGCATCTGCTAACCAATGCGAGTCATTCCTACTCCAACCTTGTCAGCATCTCTAGTGTGACTTATGTTGAGGAGACTGGAGGCTGTTGAAGCTTTCAGTGGCAGCTACCATAATTCCTTCTTTCTTGAACCTGCATTCATTATCAAGTTCTGTTATAGGTGGGTACGCTGTGTGGGACCAAGTTGTACCCCAGAGCAGGATGAGGAATGTCTGTGTGGGAAACTGGAGCAGGAGTCTGAGGTAGAACAGGGACTTTACTGGGAGAAAGTCATCATCATCAATAGGCAGTTTAGTGAATTATAAAGAACAGTAGGCACTGGGCACATGCAGAATGGCCTCAGTATTAACTAACAGCTGCCAGTTTCTGCACTTGTGGTGACTGGAATGGAATGAAGCCAGTGTGAGACACGGGTTAACTTTTGGACTACAACCAGGTGACCCAGGTTCAATCCCCACTCTATCCTGAAGCTCCCTAGGTAATCCTGGGCTTTACATAGCCTAACATACACCATAGGTTTGTTGTAAGAATAAAAATGGAAGCAGGTAAAATGTTTGCCAACGTGACAAGAAGGGCAGGAAAATAATAAACATAGGGGCTTGTAAGCCAGATATGACACACACATCCCGTCTTGAAAGGTTTTATTTTGGGTCTCTCTCCTATTAGAACTACACACAGGAACAGTAATTCAAGGAATCTTCGTAGATCCGGAAAATCTAGTTTTTGGCACTGCAGTAGCCAGAAGGAACCTTTGTGGCTTTTTAAAGAACAGTATAAGTAAAGGTTTCCCTTGCTCAAAAGCTAGTTGAATTTGATTCTAGGGGGTGGTGCTCATCTCCATTTCCAAGCCAAAGAGCCAGCGCTGTCCAAAGACGTTTCCGTGGTCATGTGGCCAGCATGACTAAACACAGAGGCACATGGAACGCTGTTACCTTCCCACCTAAGTGGTACCTATTTATCTACTTGCAATTTCTTGCTTTCAAACTGCTGGGTTGGCAGGAGCTGGGGCCAGAGATGGGAGCTCACTCCGTCACGCGGCACTCGGGTCTCAAACTGCCGAGCTACAGACCTTCCGGTCTGCAGCTTCAGTGTCATAACCTCTCAGCCACCGCGGCCCCAAAGAACAGTATATAAACCCACCTAGGAGTTCTTCAAACATGAGAAAATCAATTACACTAGAAATTTAATTGTTTATATATAAAGAACAGTATATAAACATTTAAACTTCCAGTGTAATTGATTTTCTCATGGAAGACTCATGTTTGAAGAACTCCTCGGTGGGTCTAGAAAAATTTCTCTTTGCTGGCTCTTGGCTTTGAGATTTACCTGCTTGTAAGGAGTGCCTCTAGACCAGTAATCCTGGCCGGGGGGGGGATGCTATTTCAATACTGTTTCTTCACTATCTTGCATATTCTTCCTAAACTGCTTATACAGGAAGGGTAACATAATAAGAGGCTTGAATAGTTCACATTCTACCCTTTAATAAAACAGAATTAATAGAATCACCCTACTTCATTTGGAGATGAAATTCAGAATTTGACATTGTGAAATGTTTGGATATTGCAATTGGGAATGTA